AACATGACTTTATTTCGTCGATTCAATTTATATTAAAACCATTTACTCCCTAAATATGGGTTATTTTTATAGTATTATATAAACAAACGAACGATTATTTCTTGGATTCCTATATCTAAATGGCAAACACACTGTATATTCATATTACACCAAATATGAATACTGTATAAATATCAAACTTATACTTTGTCTACTGCTTAATCCAGTATTATATTATAGTGCTACTTTTTATTGCCAAATTACTCTCAACCATCTACTGTAGTTAACCCTAAAATGAATATTTTACAAATGTTCAACAATATTTGTATTATTTAATTCCACCAAGTTACTCTTACAGTTATGTTTTAAAAACAAGTTCACTCAGAATTTTATTGAATTAGTATTGGTTTTTTAAATATTACATTTTGTTTGTGTTTACATTAGATTTTGTATTAGACCTAGGGTCTAATTCTATGAGGTGAGGCAAACTATTCTTATAATTTACGCTAAACTACTGTACTGAATACAAAATTCATTTGCTTTTGCTATATTAACAAACTAATCACTTGCTTAAAGATTTATTTTGATTTATTTGAAATGGATTAGTATTAATAAGTTTATGGCTACTGAGTAGTAATGACCAAGGCCTGCACTTTGCATTAGTAATGCTGATTACTAACGTGAAAACTAATAAAAGTAGGACTTATATAACCATTTGCTGATCTTGTTTTTCTGATCAAATAAAATAAGTCTTGTGTGACTGGCTATTAAAACCGATATTTAATACGATATGTTGTGTTTTTTAGTGTTTAGTGTCTTTAAGATGTTTATGAATTCAATTTTGAATTATTTATATTTTTCGATAAATTATTTTTGTAATTTCAAAAAGTTGTCTTTACCTCAATGATTGGATTAAACTTGTTTTAACCCAGGGTAATTATAAATTAATAAAATGAAACTTGAAACCCTTTATTAAATTAATTTTTTAAAATGTCAGCTTATAATTTGAATGAAAACTTATTTTGTTTATTTAATGACCAATTGATCTCTAGATTAGTTTTTAGGTGTTAAACATTTTAGGCTAGTTTTAATAGTTCGTATCGATAACAGTGTATGATTAGCAATAAAGGCAAGACCCTGGTCACAGAGTATTGGTGTATGAAATAAATGGTGAAATTCTAGGATTCGTTCAAATAAACCGAATCCTAAACACTAATTGCAGAGCAGAAGCAGTTGTTCCCATGCCATACGAGTACAGCATTACTGGCACTCAATACAGTAATACAGTCTATGAATTGAATTGAATGTCTCACTCAAACATCTCATTGAGAGCCAACAGCACTGTAACCGAGCGCTCACTCTTTCACATCATAAATATTTTGTGCCCAAAAGTGTGACACTTTTGCTTCAATTACATTATATATTCGGCTAACAATAATAAAACTCTTTAAACATCTATTTTCTTTATTTCTTATCGTTTTATTGTTATTTTATCGACACATTCATCATATTTTACTTTAAAAGTTTGTTTCAGCTAAGATTAAGTTGGCTTATAAATTTTATTTAACTTTCATTATTGATATTGAAATATTTTAATTCTTGAAGGAATTGTACTCTAAATACATGTGATATCAGCTGTTTGTGAAAAACTTTCTAAAAATAGTCTTAAGGTCTCTACGAAATTAAAACTATGGTTGCAATAAATGTCACGATTGTTTGATATGGATTATGACTCCCTTCCAGTCTACTGATGTTTGTACTGATATGAACGGCGGTGTTGTGCTATTATCAATGAATTGAAATTGATATTTATATTTAATGGTGAAATGAAATGAATCAGTGAATGGGTTGATATGATTCGTAAACTGCACCGACAAATGCAATGGTTTAGAAGCAGTTCCTACAGTCCCAGTGAGTCCTCTATATGTGAGGACTATTCCGGCAAAGCAGCCGACAATGACATAACGCCCCGAACTTACGGCTTGTTTAGACACCACACCGTTCCCGACGAACACTCACCGGTATCTATGCATACATACATTCACTGCCAGTCATTTGTATTGTATTATCTCTTTTCCTTTTATTTGATTATTGTTTTAGTGAATTTGTTGAATGATTTTATAAATCGAGTTAAATATATGTAGAATAAGTTTCTAATTTTGTTGATTTTCTTTGCCATAATGAACTGTTGATAAGTTAATTATAAATATATTCAGACAAATAAATTTAATTAATTTATCAAGACTGTGAGACTCTGACTTAAATCCACGGCTTTAATGAGATTTAGTTTTGTCTCATTTATTCGTGAAATACATTTCATTGAAACTGAAACTGTGAATGAATGCTATACTTTGATAATTAGAGCGCTTTTCACAAGTAAAAGCAAATTGCAATTTATTCCACTGTTTTACTGATTGCACAAATCAGGCCTTATTTGATCCGATTTCTCAATACATAGCAATCGTATGTTATTCCTAATATTCAATCCTATATTCACTAAATATTACATCAAA